GAGGCGTGAGCCTCATATTTTTAGCCTCAAAAATACCGCCTCGAGGCATACTACATGCGCCTCACAGTGAGGCGAGCCTCACTACCACCTTTTTATACCATGATATTGGTCCATCCTTCAGTAGTGTGTTTGTATCTCATGGGGTTGTCTACTATTTGATTTCTGTTAGTCAGTCGCTGGATAATGATTGTAATGTCCATTTCTCTCATGTTGGTTGTCTTGTACAGGATCAGAAGTCGGGGAAGGTGATCGTGAGGGGCCTAAAGTGGGAAGATCGTTTCCTTTGCAATTTACAATTCCTAGGACTGTTTTTGACATGTGTTATTGTTGCAAGTAAGAGTGAGGTTTAACATAAACAATTAGGTCATTATAATTTGATTTTATCTCATTTGCTCAAGCGGGGTTTTTTTGGTAATAAAGAACAGCGTTCTACTCATGGATTGCCTTTTGATTGCACTACTTGTAAGCTAGTGGAGTAAAACCGTATCTTTTCCTACTCATAGTAGTCGTGCTAATGCTTGTTTTGAAATTATTCATAGTGATGCTTGGGGTATTACACCCATTATTTAAAATGGCTATTATGAATATTTTGTGACATTCGTTGATTATTACAGTCGCTTTACTTGAGTCTGCTTCCTTCGATCCAAAGTCTTGGCTTACATTGAGACACAATTTTCTATGTGTATTAAGGTTTTAAGATCTGATAATGGTGGTGAATATATGTCCCATGACTTCCAAACCAGAAAGGTATTGTATCCTAATGTTAATGTCTGCATACTCAACAAAATGTGGTTGTTGAATGTAAAAATTGTCATTTGTTGGATGTGGTTAGGACCTTACTCTTTGAATTTTCAGTTCCGCCTAAATTTTGGGAGTAAGCTTTGTCCACAGTTGTTTATTTGATTAATCGCCTGCCTTCTCAACAATTGAATTTTTGATTCGTCTTATTGTCGTCTTTATAGTACGTACCTTGATAATCATACACTGCACACATTTAGATGTGTGTTTTGTTCACTTCATGAACATCACAAGCTAACAGCTTTGTCTCTTAGGTGTGCTTTCATGGGTTTTGCATTTCTCAAATGGGGTTTGTATGTTATGATGTCGTTGCCAATCATCTACGCATTTTTCGTAATGATTTTCTTTGAAAATCAATCTTATTTTCCGAAACATGTTGCCCTTTTTTAGCGTGTTCTACTTCCTCGGTTCGATGACATTTCTTCACCTATTGAGCGTTTTACACTAGGCATTGTCTATCAGCGATGACGGCCACCGCCTCCACAATTCCCTCCCGACCCTGATCTAGTATCTACTCCCGTGGCTCCTAGGAGGTCTTCTCACACTATTCGTCCTCTTGATAGGTATGGTTTCTCTTCGTCTTTAGCCACCGTCATAGTTTCTATCTCTTATTCACAGGTCGCTAAACAAGCAGGTTGGGAGAAGGCTATGCAAGAACTTTAGACCCTTTAAGAAGATCATACATGGGATATTGTTCTATGTCCTGCCAGTGTTAAGTCAATTGGGTGTAAATGGGTATATTTCATTAACCTCCAATCTGATGGGCGACTTGATAGATATAATGCACAGTTAGTGGCACTCGATAATCGACAGGAGTATGAGGTAGATTATGAGGAGACATTTGCTCCTATAGTAAAGATGACTATAGTACGGCTTGTTGTGGCTATTGTCGATTCCAAAGGTTGGCCTTTGCACCAAATGGATGTTAAAAATGCCTTTTTGCATGGAGATCTTAAGAAGGAGATTTAAATGACCCCACCTTTGGGGTTGTTTTCTATACCATCTTCCGATGTTGGTAAGCTGAAACAATTGCTCTATGGTTTGAAACAGGCCCCACGTGCTTGGTTTGATAAGTTTCGGTCTACGCTTCTTAATTTCTCCTTTGTCCAGAGTTAATATAATTCCTTTTTGTTTCTTTGTAAAACTGTTGGTGGAATTGTCTTGCTTCTAGTGTATGTAGTAGATAATGTTATTATAGGAACCGATTTTAGATTGATTTCCCAGCTTCAGGAGTGCCTTCAAAAGTTCTTTTCATATGAACGACTTGAAGGTCATTTGCTGTATTTTTTGGGTCTTGAGGTGCGCTCTACCCCAACTGGTACGTTCTTGTACCAGCATAAGTACACCCAGGAGTTAATTACTTTGGTAGGTCTTCAGAATGGTCATATCGTTGATGCTCCTTTGGAAGTGAATGTAAAGTATCAACCTGATGAATGAGATTCTCTTTGATCCCTATTTGTATAGGCAGCGATAGGCAGTTTAAACTATTTGACTATTACTTGACATGATATTTCCTTTACAGTTCAAACAAGTTAGTTTATGCAGGCTCGATATCTTCACCCGGCTGCCCGTTGTATTATTCGGTATTTGCAGGGTACATCTACCTATGGCCTTTTCTTTCCTATGGATTCTCCTGTTCGTCTAGTTGCCTATAGTGATGCTGATTGGGCTGAGTGTTTCGATACGCTACGACCGGTTACTGGTGGTTGTATGTTTCTTGGCGCTGCCCTTATTTCTTGAAAAAGTAAGATACACGATCATGTATCTAAATCTTGTACTGAGTTGGAGTATCGAGCTATGTCATTCGCTTCTGAGATTATTTGGCTTCAAGAACCATCGGCTAGGTTTCCTCACCTTGAACCCACTCCGTTTCATGCAGATAATACTAGTGCTATTCATATTGCTGTTAATTCTGTGTTCCATGAGCGCGTCAAACACATTGAGGTCGATTGTCATTCCACTCATGAGGCCTATGATAATCGTGCTATCATTCTTTCGCATGTTACTATTGCTTCTTAGATTGCTGACTTGTTTACCAAAGTACTTTATCGATCTCGACATCAGTTTCTGGTTGACAAATTAACGCTTGTTGATCGACCCGCATCAATTTGAGGGGGATATGAAAGGAAGAGATTATGGAGATTAACTTTCCATAATTAGTGTATATTTGTAATTAACCATACCATACATTCATCACCTATTTTATAAAACAATTTTTATGGCTTTCGTAGTTTAAAATTAGTATAAACAAAAAATCATCTCTTTTGTATTACAACACTTGTCGAATTTGATAATAACTAGTAAACCATAATTAGACATTATTCATCGTGGGATGATACTTTTAACTAACTAAATTATTACTTATCAACGATCTCGTACGCTTGCGATTTTTGTGTGAACAAGCTTTTGCCTCCTCTACAGGCCTAGGCGCGCTTCTAGGCTTATCCCGAGCAGCGTTTAATATTTTTGTCAAAACTTTATCTCCGATATCTGATTGTGGTGATTCAAAGTGCATTAGGAAGATAACTCAAAAGGCTACAATTCTCCTAAAAATAACATTTTTCCAATTCGAATGTTTGCTCTACCTAAAATGGTTTCTCAATATGATACTGAAAATTTGGAGCATAACTTTTTCGGCTTGAACTTGATGTGTGATAATACTTTAACTATATTTCATCCCTTTGACTTCTTTTCTCATCCAATTGAAACCTAGCACTTCGAATCTCCATCATGAGGTCCATCACTATTTTTATGTATTTGCACTTTAATCCCCGAACTTTGGATTTCTTACAATTGACCCCATTTGCACCATTTTTCTCCAATTCTTCATCAAATCATGAGTTTTAAAGCCCTCAATAAGCATATGAAATACACTTATCACTGTAATTGCAATAATTAATCTTAATTCGGATTCTATTTTTTATTATATAATGAAAAGAGATCCTCAAGAGGAGAGTATTCAGCCAAATCTTGTCAACTGTTTGACAGCTATTATTAGAATTTTTTTTCTACATACTAATTTTCAACCACATATTCATACAATAAAATATTCTGCATGTAAATCTAAATGTTTTCTCTACTTTTTAACCACACATTTTCCTGAAAAACACTGTTCAAAACTTTCTTTCCTATATAATGGTTGTAAAATAGGGGCTAAATGGTTTTGTTGCCTAGAACATTTTTATGAAGAAGATTGCTTGAAGGAACAACATGAACACTTGGATCTCTTGAGTACAGTCATGGCAAGACAAATGTGGAGGATATTGAAAATTTGCTAAAACAACTCACTTTTTCCCAACAATTAGCTCCAAAATTATTTTGTATTAATTAAACTGACATTTGAAAATGATTTTATTGAGATTCTATACAATAAAATCTTTTAGTATTTCGATTCACGTTATGCGAGATTCTAAATCATTTTAAAAGAATTTAGAATGTGGAGATGAAAGAAAACATTGAATGTTTGGTACATTACGACCATGCAAAATTGGACATTATAATTGGCAATTTTATTACATGTTTTTATTCTTTAATTGGGTTAATCTTGGATACTAAGCATGTTCAGAACTTTTATTATGCATTGAAATCGTATAAAGCGAAAGTTTTAAGTGAAATTATCTCATTTTCAATTCTATTAAAGACTTTTTCTATGTTTCAATGCCATTCGAGACTCCAAAAATTGGACAAGGTCATTTTCCTAAGAACTTATAAACTAGATTCATTATTATAATGGTAACCTAATGCCTTGGCTCAAGTAGACACGTGATATACCTAGCCTAATCCTGACATTGATCTAGTGGTAAAATTATCAGATCTCATAAAATGTATTAGTTTTGTTATTTAGTTAATTTGGTTTCTATTTCTATAAGTAAATTATTAGTTTTCTTATTCTGTGATTAATTCTTTTACTTAGTCTACTAGAATTAGGAGATTACATCTTCTTTTAATGTCTATATAAAAAGAGGACTGAACTTTATTCAATATATTCCAAGTTATTTAGATAATACTCAAGTTTTTTAGTGTTTTTCCTTTTTTAGAAGATTCAAATTCCGCTACTGCACTAGCTACCATGTTATCTTTCCAGCTAAGCTAGCCTACAAAATATTTATCGATTACTTAGCCGTAGTGAGATATGGCCAATCTCTCATTTTTAAGCACTTATTAGCAATGACCAATCTCTCATTTTAAACAAGCACTTAGATATGTTATCATCCAAGTATGGTAATGGGCCATAAGCCTTTTAAAAATTCTATTCATTAACTTGCTTCTTTTTTTTTTTTTTTTTTGCCGAGGGACGATTTGTAAATTATAAGAGCTCGACGTAGAGTATCGTTGACACAAAAAATAGTAGGCTACTTCTCCCCATCGAGTACAACAAGACCAAACAAAGAACTCTTCTATGGTAATACGAGGTGCCTCTGTGCTGCTACTAGGGCATATGAAGATGTAAAAATGGATTCCTATCAATTTCCAACCTAGGATAATAAGCTCGGGAGTTTATTCTTAGTTTAATGTTGGAAAAGAAAGAAGTCTTCAAACACGTAATGAACATTAGCTCTCCTAGAAAAGGAAGTGATCTTATTCCAACTTCTTACAACAACCTTGTTATGGCTTCACTCTAGTTTTATGCCTTGGACATTGTTATCCTTGTGATTAAGGTAATGAATTTAGGCTAGTTTATGGTAGTGTATTCCTTGATTCTTGTGTCCTATGAGTTACGAACACTTTTATTAGGGCGTCATGTCTGTGTCATTGTGTCGCAAAGTGTAGGATCTCGACACTCAAGGACGTATCTGACAAGCCACATGCGCTTGTCCAACTTTTCATTATCTTTTAGATTACCAAACATTAGGGATACCTTAAAAACACTTTTTATGCAAATGTCTGGATGCCATATGCCGTTTCCAATATTAAAAATCAGAATAATAGTATAATATAATAATTTTAAATTTTAAAGAATTCGAATGGACGTGTCCCCGACATGTTTGAGTCCTACTTTTTTGAAGATTGTTTAATTTATTTGGAGATTATTTTGCAATTTTTTGACCTTTTTTTGGTTCATGGTGAGGACGACGTCTCAAAACAACTTGAGTCTTACGCATCGCCTCATGATGGAAAAATGCTTTGTACATGATTACATGTTAAACATTGCTGACCATTGTGCCTGTTCGTAGCCAATAACTAATTCCAAAACCTTGGACAAATTCATCCACTCCGCTTACCGCTCAAATATCTTCGTCGTTCACCATCGTACCCAGCTTTCATTTCCTCCATCTATGAAGTGAGATGAAGAAATTACTTAACAAGTGACACTAACCTAGATCAAATAATCCTCACTTATTCAACTTCATCATCATTAGACCTTTGAGAAGAGCACATTCTCATTCCTAATCTGTGCTCTTTTTTTTTTCTCCTTGGATTTTAAGTTTCTTTATTTGTTAGCTTCCAAAAGTTGCATTAAGAAAATCTGATTGATTGATTAATCACCCTTTGTATTTTTCCTTTTATTTTTTGGTAAAAACTTGATCAACTGCTCTGATTAATCCTAATCCTACATGTTTTTAAATAGATAGACGATCTATGCTAGATCTTATCTGTTATTTTTTGTTCTTTTCAGTTTCTCAAGTTTTGACCTTTTGCGCAAGTTGATGATTGCCTAATTTCTTGCTATTTCTTACTTTGTTTCTTTCTTAGGTTTAGGGAAAGAAAATCCAAAACAATGAGAATCAAGGGACGAGATCGTATAAGCTGGTTGCCAGATGAGATCATTGGTCATATATCCTTTCATTTCTTCCAACAAAATATGCTGTTCAAACTAGCATTCTGTCCAAGAGGTGGCAGTACCTCTGGACTTTAATTACCAGTTTTGATTTTGAGGATAACATTTCAAATGAAAGCAATCATGCTTGCATAGCACGTCACGTGTTAACTAGTTGCTCCTCAAAACAGATTAATAGGTTCTCTTTGGCTGTGAATGGTTATGTTTGTAATCTGTGCTTTGATGCATGCACGAGTGAACTAATTAGTCGCAATGCTCTTGAACTTAAACTCGAGGGATCACTTGTTACTCACGGTATCTTCACATTCAAAACCTTGACTGCTTTGGACCTCAAGTCAAATATTATACTATTAGATACCAAGGATATTCCTACTTTTGATCTTCCAAATCTGAAAAAGCTTCGTACTCATCTTTTCTATCCTTCAAGTGACCTCTCAGAAAAGCTTTTCTCTAGTTGCCCAGTACTGGAGGATTTAACAATAGAGGGAAATGTAAGAAGTGAAACTAAATTCAATATTTCCTGTCCGCTTTTGAAGAGATTGAAGATACAGTTACAAGCATGGGACTTCGAGGGGCTGAAATATAAATTTGTACTCAATGCCTCAAACCTCAAATACCTGGAGCTTATTGACATGTTTAAAGCAGAATATGTTGTTGAGAATCTGACATCTGTGGTTGAAGCAAAACTGAAAATGAGAAAGGGTGCTGCAGATGAAATATTTGGCAACCTTGCAGCTGAGCTTCTCTGGGCTTTTCGCAACTTGCAATCCTTATCAATGGACGAAGATTGTTTATTAGCTAGCATGGTTTCAGCCTTACATTTTATTTTATTGTTGATAATTTTAAACCAATGAATCCCATGTGACTACAGTCATTACTGCTCTGGCCTCTCTCTTTCTTTTTGAAGGTACTTAACGATCCCGGACGATGTGATCTGCCTACTTTCAATGATATGAAACGTCTAGAGCTGTTTTTTAATGATCACAGTGATCAGGAAATGATAGCTTCTCTCCTTAATGTTTGCCCAAATCTAGAATCTCTCATATTATTCGAGGTAGAGTAGTGATGAAAAGTTTTAGCTATTTTCGTTGAAGTTTTGGGAAGTTTTAATATTTCTTTTAATGTGTCTTAAGTGAGGGAGTCTTCAATGTTATGTTGCTGAACAATCCAGCCTGCTGGGATGTTCGTAACCGAAATCAACTGGGATGTTCATAACAAACATTAACAAGAAATAGTGCTTGAATTCTTGTATCCCCAGTTGAAGAGATTGAGCTTGATGGATTTATTGGGAACACGTATGAGATGGAAATTGTGATGATGTCAGTGAATGTCACTTGTATTTGAAGAACATCAATGACTTCCCTTATGCTTAGTTCAAATTCAGGTGCTGCTTGTTTGCAATGATAAAAGCATACACTGGAAATACTGGTTTTTATAGATAGTTACAGTGTAGTTATTTAAAAAATGGATTTTTTTTTTGTGTTCTATGTTATGCATAGACTATGTGGGGATGATCCCAGCAAAGTGAATTGTCCCTTGTAACTTAAGTGTGATATAGTTATGCTTCTACTTTAGATTGAGTGGTGAAACAATATGATCAATTAATGCACAATAACCATTAAAAGATGGAATTTGTATGTCATGCACGTGGACTGTCATGTTACATGGGGATTATATCTTAACATTTTTTTTTATCATCGTGTGTTAAATTTTCTCTTTCCAAATTCAGTACAATTGTACTTTTACTCTGAACGGAGTGGTGAATAAGGTTGGCATCTTATATGGACAATAAATGCATAATATGCATTAGCAAACAATGTGTGCATGTTGTGCATTTTATGCAAATTTCTTTGCATAACATTGTTGTTTCTTGCTCCGGTCATTACTTTATGCCAAAATGCATGTTTCTTGAATATACGAAATTCCATCTTCTTAGATGACAAGGCATGGAATTAAGTTTTATACTAAGATGTAGGGATTAAAATGAAGTTTATGTGACATCTTTACAGATTTACCGTAATATCTCCTTTAAAGTTTAAATATCTATGATGATAAAATTGAACGGAGACCAAAAATTAATGCTGCCAACAATTTTTTCTGTCCGTTATGAACTAAACATAGATAGAAAATTCATTTTGACACACAAAGTTCTCTTATTGTCACCATCTTCAACGGTTCAAACACGTAATTATTAAGACCCAAATTTGTTTAGATGCTTAAGTTTTTTGTAACTTGGCGCTGAAAATTTCATAGGTTTACCATTTGATAAATTGAATAAATGAAGAAAAGATAAGTTGGATCCTTTTGGTTAATGTCCCTCGACAAGTGAAATGTTTGGTGACAACTAAGCTACTGCTAATCATTTAGCTTGATTGGAATGGAACAGCTATATAATAAATTCTTCTATTCATTATTCATAAAACATTGTTGAAAGGTGTTACAGTTGTATTAGGTTGGCTATACCAAAATTTCTTTATTTGTCTGAAACTAGGATAAATTTGGTTTTGTCATGGTGCTTTGATGAAATTGATGATACATTTTGTCAAAGCAGACTTCCATAAGTAAATAATTCTGAATTCTGATATGTCAAGTCTCAATTTAACAGCAAATTCATACTTTCGATCTTTTTATTGTAACATTTTATATTGTTGTATAAAGTTGTTAGGAGGTAAATTTATATGCAATTTCATTGGTTCGACCATATGTGGGAAATTTGTCTTGATATCTGCATGTAGATTTATCTTCCTTACACTTTAAATTTAGTTATATAGTATAGATGGACTTTTAGAGTCAGTTGTAAAGCCAGATGGGGGACTGCAAATGCTAAATGAAGCAGTAAATTAAATGCCACCATTATATTTAATGTTTCTCATTTATTACGTATTTTTCACAATTCGCACCATTGAAAATTTTCAATTAGTTCTTATGGTGTGAAATAATCAAATGATTAGAAACCTTCTATAGTTGATCTACTAGTGAAAATAAACTGTTAGATGTAAAATTGTATTAATTCAGAAAATATAGCATAATGACAAACTGAGATTTGAAAATGAACTTTTTTTTATATCCAACACCATGAAAAAAAAAAAGAAACGAAAAGAAAATGTCAAGCTCTCCTGTTTAATATGTTCTGACAAGTGTCTCTTGATTTATTGGCAGTCATTTGCTGAGGGTGACAAATCACGGGCACATCAGCGTTACATGGAAATATTTGGATTGAAGTTGGTACCAATCCATGTGATGGGACTGAAAATATTTTGATTGGAAGTCGTAATTAGCGTGATGACACCTTGAATTAATAGCTCAAAGACGTGACCTCGTAATCAGTGTGTTGACCCATTGAATTTATAGCTCAAAATCGTGACTCTCAGAATTCTGAAGCATTTGATTGGATCCTGGACTATGGCCCACTGCCATTGGTATGTACCTTTTGCAAACAATTATTCATTTCTCTTGGGGTTCTTATGTTTATTAAATAAAGTTACTGTCTATTTTAAACTTATTATAACTGCAAAACAGCATTTTTCATGTTTGGTATTTATTCAACTGAGGTCTCTGTTGTGGAGGAAACCTTTATACGAATTAATCTTACAATGCAATTCACTGGTTTGACCATATGTGTGTAATCTGTCATGCAATCTACATTTGGATTATTACAATTTATCTTCCTCACACTGATGATTTATTTATATACTATATAGATGAAATTGTAAGGCCTGATGGGTGATTGCAAATGCTTTCTTATCTTCGAAGCCAGTAAATTAAATGCCACCATTATATTTAATGTTTCTCATTTATTACAGTTTTGATATAATCCACACCGTTGAGAATTTACTAGTTGTAACACATGTTTGATAAGTAATTATAAGATGTGGGTCCTACGAAATATGTGGATAATAAGTGAGTAGTAATTGTGTTGGGATCTAAATTATGTTTGTCCATAAGTGATTAAATTATAATCATTTCCCAAACATGTAGTGTCCACATTCGTTTTACAATTGATCTGTGAAAATAAAGTATTTTTCTGAACTTTACTAATGCAGAATTAACACTCAGGTCATTGGTTTGAGATCTAAAATTGAAATGATATAAATTGAGAACTCCATGGAAAAATATTAATCCCCTCTGTCTTATCTGTTCCGACGAGCATCTTTTGATATGAAAGCACCATCATTTTTTGTTTGATATTTATGAGAGATTAATTGTTGGCTGTGATTTGCAGTGGGTGGACAATATCTGGAGGAATGAAGTTGGTAGTTAACGATCTTATATTTTTGAGAATGGTAGCCTGAAAAGTCGAAATCAATGTGATGGAGCTGAATATATTTTGATTGAAAGCCAAAATCAGTGTAATGACACCATGAATTAGAGGCTCGAAGTTGTGACCCTGAAAATTTTACATTTGATTTGGTCCTGGTCTTCAGCCTACTTCAATTGGTAAGTACATAATCAGTATTTTTTTTCATTTTTGGTACTATCTATGTTATTGTTCAACCAAGGGTAAATTAAGACATGCTATGCTGCATTCTGCAAGTATTTCACCACTTCTAGCATAGCCTGGATTAAGTTCATATTTATACGTTCATATAATACGTTGTCCGTCGTACTGAGTTACTGAATTTTTATCCAATTGAGGCTCTTATGACGTTTAGAGCTCTGTAGATGAGGAAATCTTTATAAAAATTAATTATTCTTGTATCAGTTGTATTCTTTTAGTGTGTTATCTTGGTTGATGTGATGAAAACCTAAAAATTTCCTTTCTAACATTGAAAATAATTTAGAATTTTCCAATTTTATTTTGTTTTAGTTTAGGATTTTGTTTGGACAAGATTTGATAGGCTTCCGTAATTTGTTAAGCATGTGATGTTAGAAATCATTTTGAATTTAAGTTTCTTAAATCTATCCAAGTGCAGCAGGTGATACATGTATATGGAAAATTTTCCTCCTAGGTAAATTGTTCTCCTCTCTTCTTCCATTGCCTTTGCCTCTTCTAATCTCTCTCTCATTCCCTGTGTGCTGTACATCATGATTTTTCTCAAGTTAAGGGAGTATGGGGAAGCAGCTGAGAAATAACCACTGTGTACTAGTGTAGGCCCCAAAACCGTTTTATCTTGGGTAGGAACTGTGATTCCTGGATTTGTGTGGTAAAAAGTGAACTTTTCACTACGTGTGGTTTTCTCTGCCAAGTATATATATACACTTGATATATAGTTTGGCTGAATGAGAGTTTTAATAAGCTTTGAAGCAACTTCGAATGGATGAAACTCAAAAAATTGTAAAGATTTTACAGATCTGCACAGGATTGGCAGTTGATTCGTGTCTTTATTATGAGCTGCTTACAAAAACATAAAAGGAAGATGAATGAAAAGGAGATTTTCCACGTTCATGAGATGACTGGTGGCGTGCCCTAGTGATTAAGCTTAATTAGGATGGTCACGCATGTAGTCTT